CCAGACTGCCATGAGGTTCTGTAAGAGTGTGATCTGTGAAGTTTTATAGGTTGTAATCATAGGATTGTTTTGGTTTTAAAAAAACTTCAGGATCATCAAGTCCAACCATTAACCCAGCATTGTCAAGTCCACCACTAAACCATGTCCCTTAGCATCCCATCTACACAGCTTTTAAATACCCTCAGGGATGGTGGCTCCACCACTTCCCTGGGCAGCCTGTTCCAGTGCCTGACAAGCCTTTCAGTGAAGAAATTTTTGTGGTCCATGAATCTTTATAGGTTGAATAGTGTATTCTTACTTTTAAGTTGTAATAGGACATTCTTCCATTGTATCTGTGAAAACCTGCAATAGTAGCACATTAAATCTTTGAGTGCAATTCAAATAAATAATTTGTTTGAACTTTGCAGTCAGTTCTCTTTTCAGCACAAGGTGGTCACCTGAGACAGCTCAGAGAGAGACCCGGGGAGGAGTGACAGAGTCACTTAGGGCACAGGGACCAGCCCAGGGCCAGCAGTGCAGCAACTCTTGGGAGTCTGCAAGACATCACCCAACGGGCTGGGAAATCCCTGCAACACACTCCACATGGAATAAACCAGATTGTTAAGAGAAACAGAACATGTCAATAATTGAATTTTCCCCTCAAACATTATATCCTTAAAAATGATGAGGCAGCAGCTCTCAAGCCCTCCTCCCCTGCCTCGCTCTCTAACCACAGGGATAACCTGCAGCCAAAAGCTCGGGCGCTTTCTAACCCCAGCAAGCATGAGGAAATCAGTGGGGAGATGAGGGGGCTTCCAGCAGACATTCCAGCTAAGCTGCAGCAAAGCCCTCACCTTCTCTCCTTCCCCTCTGCTGCTCCCTGCACACCAGATGCCTTTTCCTCTCTGGCACAGTCAGTGATTGTGTATTTGCAGAAGCACTTAGCACAGGAGAGGAGGGAGGAAGGACAAATGTGCAATGCTGTCTATTAGGATGGGGTGGCAATATCAGAGCACACCAAGAGAGAGCACTAGTTTTACAGCTGGCTTCAGAGGTTTAAGGCTCTTCCAGCACCAGTAACAGGTGATATTGATGCCAGCAGGGAGCAATATGACTGTGACCTCCCCTTCATTATACAGGTCACAGAACTTCCCTAAATTTAATTCCAGTTTAAAATAAAATAGTTGAACTGGGATTACATTTTAAAAGAACCATCCAAGATTGATGTTAATATTTTCAGTGACAGACAATCAACCACAGCCCTGGGTCAGATGGTCATAAAGTTAATTTCCCCAGCCATTAAAAACATTCACCTTCTTTCTGGTCTGAATTATCCCAGTGTCAAATTCCAGCCTTTGGATGTTTTCTTGCTAGGCTGGGAAAGGTTATATGATCACATTTCTCCTCCTCACCATCACATCACTCCTTTGCCTTTAATAAAGCCAAGCACACTGAGATCTTTGAGTGTCCCTGGTTATTGCAGCTTTTCTCTGAATGCTCACAGGTTCTTCTTGGCCTTTTTGATTTCTGGATCCCAGAAACAGATGTTGCAAGTCAAAGGATAACAAAAGTTGCCTTCTTCTGCCTGCCCATGTCCCTTTAATGCATCCAGGAACTAATAGTAGCCTTACAAGCCAGAGCTGGGGACCTCTTCTTCACCTGCCAAGCCTTCTTCACAGCTCTGCCCAAGGCCCTGCTTTCCAGGAGACATGACCAACAGCATGCTCAACACTCTGTTCTTGGATGCCTGGCCTTGCTTGCGTTCACATTGAAATGCTGTTTGCCTGTATCCCATTTACCAAGCTTCTCATTGTCTCCGCAGGTGCCATTTTCCCCTGCGGGGTGTGTGGATGAAGATGGGTGAGGCACCCAACACCATAAGTATTGCAGCTCTAGGCACAGACTTGCTTGCAGCAGCTGGCACCAAGGATGATGGTGACTGGCTGATGTCTGTGATGGGTGTTTTTGCGTCCTTTTCTCTACCCTGTATAGCCTCACTACTCCTCCACCACCTCTTTCACTCCATTTTTTCCTCCAGAGCTGGGGATGAGGAGGGTGAGGCTCTTTACATAGTCCCCTGTTGCATGCTTTTTGCACAGGATTTATTTTTCTCTCTCTAAGATGGTTTCTTTGAAGTCAAGGAAGAGACCAGACGTAACTGGACAAGAGTTAAAAGCCCCAGTCAACCAACAGCCAGGGAAAGGTAGTAAATCTCATAGAATCCTTGGCTTGGCTTGTTCAGAACACCAGGCATTAGCAGAATGGGACTGGATGGGTTGCTCCCAGACTGAAAACATTATGGAGCTAATGTTCTACCAAAGCGACCCAGAAGATGAAGCAATAATGCAATCTGCAGTAAAGGGGAGGGAGGCATCACCTTGACACAAATGGCAGCAGCCCCATGTACCCCAGCCCTGTGTGCCCAGCCCGAGCCCACTGCACGTGTGTTGTGAAGGCCTGGAGGAGCCTGCAGGCAGATGCTGGAGCTCAGTCTGGTCTCACCCTCTCAACCCTAGCCCAGAAATGTGTGTAGGGCACGTACACCTTGAGCAGGCTCAAAGCTGGAGCGGTGCCTTGGGCAGGAGCAGCTCTGGGCCTCCACAGGCAGACCCTTCTCAGCTAGGAGGGGCAGTGAAAAGCAAGGTCCTGAACACGCATCCTTCTGTCTTACTTAAAGGCTCAGTGCTTATGTCTCTTCCTCTCCTCACCCTGCCTTTTCCTGCTCCTTTACTTTCTCCTCTGGCATCTTTCCTGCTCCTTTGAACACCCTCCCAGGAGAGCTCGTGCTGTCACACTCACTCGGCAAGCTCTCAAACATGAGCAGGGAACAAAGGAAAGGCTGAAGTGTCAGGGGCCAAGCAAAGCTATCAAGTTTTGCTTTTCTACTTGGGATTTCTTTGCCTTTGCTTTCCTGAAAGAGACTCAGGGGTCTCTTTGGAAACCTGCTCTGCTTCTCCTTGCTTAGCTCTGGAAACACTCTGTGCTATTAAAAATAGCATGCCCCAGAAAAGTTAGCACATTAGGTTTGTTGCCCCGTTTCTAAAACAGCCCTGAGAAGGCTGAAAACCAGTGACAAGACAGGAACGACCAAACCACACCCTATGCGGTACCACAATCAATATGTCCCAACTCCTGTGGCTCAGAGACCAAATCCTTCCCTGGTCCAGGGATGCTTTTTTGAGCATGCCCCAGGGGACAGACACAGCCAGGCAGGAGAGAACAATCCCAAGGGGTAGGAGCAGCCGATCCCCCGTTCCATTGCTGTTTCACAGCAGCTCTCCCAGCTGTACCTGCCTTCCCACAGGGGAGACCGGACAGGGCAGCACAATAGCCACTTCCTCCTTTGCAAATACTATAATTGGAGTCACCCCACTGCATTTTCATGACCCACAATGAGGGTCAGATGCTCAGGAGACCTCAGTTCCTGTTTAGTCACTAAGAGGGCAGAAATTTTAAAAGAGCCTGGCATATTGTATGCTATTTTTATCAGAAAATAGACTTAAATACCAAACAAGGGCCATAGCTTGGCTTTTGAAAAAGCCTTTAAAATCCCAACACACTTGGCTTACCCAGATGAGAAGAAAGTGATGCTGAAAACCTGGCACCTTGCTGGAGCCTGGCACCATGCAGTCAGTGCTACCCTCACACCTCTGCACTGCAGCCTAAATCATACAACAATCAGCCCAACATAGAAGATGAAGGGAGGAAAGGAAAACACAAAGAAGAAAGGTTTTGCCTTTGTGACAGAGCATAGGAGAGGCCCGGAACCCAGAGATGTCCATCCCAGTGACTGCAGCACAAGTTATTTGCAGACATATTTTTCTGATTTGGGATCAACAAAGCATCTATCGCATCCTATCTCAACAGCAACCCAGCAGGCACTGCCAGAAACAATATAGAACCACTATTGTAATTCTTACTGATATGTCATCAGAAATCTCCCTTTCTTCAGAAGCCCTACAACACCTGCTGGAACTAAGGAATTGACACCCTGATCATATAGAAGTCATTTTGACAACTGGCACATGGACAAAGACCTTCCTTAAAATGTAGCAAAACCAGATTTCATGATCTGAGGAGTAGCTAAAAAGCAATAAAAAAATTAAGCTTACAGATTCTATTAGGAAACCAGCTGAAAAGTAAATTCACAATAGTTTTTAGATACTTGGTGAAGTATTAATATAAGCTTGTGAGTGTAAAGCACTTCTCCTAAGTTCGCTGAGAGTTCAGACAAAACCAAAACAGGCAGAGCTGCACGTCATCTCTGCTCTGTGCCACTGAACTGGAGCCCAAAGTAGTTGGGCCCCTTTCTCCCTCTTCTTGATCAATGGCTCCCAGCGTGCTCCAGAAAGAGATAATATTATTCCTAGAGAGAGACTGTATCTTCAGTGTCTGCTGAAAAGCCCCCTAACTAAATACAAGAAATTTGAGCTGCTAATATTTATTCATAATATCAAGCTTCTTGCACGCACAGCAACACACACACACACATTTCCACTGGAACAAAAAGTTTAAGCAAAAATCAGGCAAAATATACCAGATAGAGAACAATACCTCTGCAAGAGTGGTCCATCTTGTTGTACTTGAAGTACCCACTTTTACACTGGCAGAGTGCAATGCCATCAAAGTCGGTGCATTCAGATGTTTCCTTGTCACATTCGGGGTCTTTCTGCTTGCACAAGCTGCCAACTGTTGGGAAGAAATGGCCAATGTAAGCATGGTTCTCTCTGAGCCCACCACTATGCACATGTGCTTCCAAAGGCATCACATCCAGCTCCTACACTGCTTTTATCTCTTCTCTTCTTAAAAAAAATAATACTTGTTCCATTAGGAGACAATCAGCATGACACTGTGTCACCATTTTTTGTGCATCTCCTGACATGTGCAGGCAAATAGAGGGGGTGAATAGTAAATGTTTCAGCTCAGAGGCAGAAGGGGAAATGTAAGAAAAATTTGGTTTGGCTCAAGCTGGAACACATTCACCCCCTGAGACAGTTGAACAAATCAGTTTTTAAGTTTATGTCAAGCAAAACAGTTTTGCTCAGTGCAAAACAATTTTTTCCCATGTCAATATAAAGCACTGGATTTTTCCATTTTCCAAAAAAGAAATTGTCCTTTTGTTACATTACAAGAACATGATTTGGTTTTTATTCTGCTTATTTCAAGTTAGAAGTAGACTCCACCAGAGGTATTTTAGCAACTGTAATGGCTAGATATAATCTGAGCAGCTATACCAAAGTAATTTAATTCATCCATGGTGGAGTGTGGCTTTAAAACATGGCATGTTAAAATTAAAGCACACACTAAATTTCTCATCTTCATCTTTAGTTTCCCAAAATGATCCAAGGGATTTCCCACTACACCCAGGCTAAGTGCTGTCACCCTTCATCCTCAAAACCAAACCTTGAAGCCTTGAACTGCAGAAACCCATCTTTGAAGGGTGCTCATCCCTGCATCCCACCGGTACCTTCTCACGGCTAAATCTTCTCTATCCCTCCCTCAGAAAGCAAGGACCAGGAGGTGCAGGGCCCACGGTCACCAGCACCAATAGGGTCCACCAGGAGAAGGTTCTGTACAAGACTGATGTGCTTCTCCCCTTTGGCAGGTAGAGGATTTGGTACAGAAATCAAAAGCTTTTAACTGTGAGCTAGTTTCACAGCCTGCAGCAGTAAGAGTGCATCTCCCCATGTAGCCTCCAGCAGTGCTAACCAACTTGATGGGGGGGGTTATCTCTTGCTTTTCACAGTTTCCCCAGATCCTGGCCATGCAGGAGGAATAAGACATGGCTTTTTGATCTGGCTGGGGCCCAGTGTCATGTCCCAGAGATGAAAGCCTGCCCTGCAGTGCCTCTAATCCTGATCTGCACCATGCTTTCACAGAAGCAGATTTCTCCCACGTGTGGTGAAGATAAGGCTCGATATCTGCATCCCTTTTGTACTGCAGGGCTCATAAGACAATTTCCATTTAAATATGATAAATAAGATTCAGAGGGGTTTTTCCAAACGCCCAAATCCTTCTGCCCCGTTGCAGAACACGCCAAATAGAACATCCCTTTCCCTTCCCATCACAGTTCCTCCAGAAGGTGTTTACCTCTGTGGAGTGGTTTCAGGCTGGAGATGAACTGGCAGGTTTCAGTGGGGGACTTACAACCTCGAATGTAGCTTTTCACGCTGCCCACAACATCGTAGAAAGTCACGTTGGATGCTAAAGAGAACGTGGATTGCACTGAAACATGCACAAAATTTGCCTCCCTAACAGAAAACAAAACAAAACAGCCCCTGAGTACCATGGGTCAGTTTGATGTAATCATTAGCACCTTATACAGAGGAACTTTTATTAACACAAGAGATGCTTATAACAGACACAATATTGCAGACATACTGAAACAGCCACGCATTGTAACAGACATTAAAAACAGAAAACACAGAGGTGAATTTGGGGCAGGGAGGGTTGCTGGTAGCTCACTTTGAAACCAGCCATAGATCCCTCCTGGGCAGCTCACAAGCCTGTCCCCCAAGCCACTTAAGTCCCAAGGAGGATACCAGATGAGTTGAACAAACAGGCATCTCCTGATGTCCCAGAGCCTCTGAGCTGTATTGCTTCAAGCCCAGCACCAACTCAAGAAGGAGATTATGGATCTCAAGCTGGATATCCTGAACACTCAAGTTTCTCATTCTGCCTCTGGTAGCTTTAGCCTTACCTGGTTGCCTTAACTGTGGAGTGGTGGTACCCTGGCAAGCCTGACAGCGACGCGTTGAGCTGAAAGGAAGGAGAAAGCAGCTGTTAGTGCCCCTGGGAATGCTGGAGGAAGGCAGCCAGGCAGGACACAACACAGGACAGCCCTCCTGGGTCACCGACACCCTCCTCTGCATTCTCCAGAGATGTTTGCTAACAGGATCAACTCATGCATGCAATGATCTAGCTAAAAAATGAACAGAGATGTATCTACTCCCAGATGTACCCTCTCTATCCAGGAGCCTTTGTGGAGTTTCCCAGCACTTGCCCTCAACTGACTGAGGGCCACACGATTACTATAGCATTGCTGGGAAGCTCCACCAAGGGGAAGGTATGTTTGAGTGGGTGTTCCTGCTGTGCTTCATCCCATGGGGTTCAGCTCAAAGCAAGGTGGCACCAGCTGCAGTCCAACCTGCCCCACCACTTGAGAGGTTTACTAATGAACAATGGAGCCCAGAGTTACTGTTTTAATGTTTGACCTTGGAGGAGCACTAACATTCTTTTGAGGTCTGGAAACTGCAATGCAGCCAGAAGAAGCTAGGAAAGGATGGAGGCTACCAAACCATTACCCCAGCCTCACTTCTTCACAAAAGGGCTGCAGGATTTTCTGGCCAAATGTGCTGTCTTAAGCCCCATAAGAGCCAGGTAGCTTGAAAGACTGGGTAGGGCAGGAGGGAGAAGTGTGCTAGGATTTAAATGCGTACATCTCATAAATCCTAATTACACTAGACCAGGATGGTTTAACAATTAAAAAGGCTAAATGCACAGTACAGAGTCATGTGGCTTCCCATGCCAACCGTAAGAGGAGCAGAGGGCCTGTCCCATCATTGCCAAAGTCCCAGCAACAACACTCACCATCGCCAGGATTTCACCTTCAACATGGAGGAGCTCTGTGTACTTCCCATGGGTAATATTAAGTTTCAGGGGGACCTGGCCAATAAATATTCTCACTGAAAAGGAGAAAAAGACAAATCAGTCAGAACATGTTATCTCCATGCCATGTGTATCTGCAGTTCCATCTGCCTTACATCAGTGACTGTCTGCATGGGAAACCCTTGCACTCTGTGGACAGAAAACTTATGTCTGAGAGACACGTCCCCAGTAAAGCAAAGTCCCAGCCTTGGGATTTTTCCCAGGGGTTGCTGTGATGTTCCCACAGTCCCAGTCAAATTCCAGAGCTCAGTGCTGCTGGACAGCCAGCATTTCACTGCAGCATTCATACATTTCTTATAGAAACACAGACTAATTTAAAAGGACCCCTGAACAGACAGATGGGTACATTTCGTAATAAGACCGTTTCAGGTACCAAAGCTATTTATAATGATTTGGACTAAATGCATTAAATCTCTTACCCCTCTCTGCAATGGAAGGAGAGTATATCAGCAAAGTCAAAATAAAACACTGTAGAAAGAACATTTTCATTTTTTAAACTGCTGGACAGAACAAGCAATGACATTTGAAAAGAGGCCCAAAAGATGCATTTTTCCATTCTTAGATTCATATTGATTCATGGCAGTAGAATGCAATAATCTGAGTTGTCCAGACTTGGAGAGATAATATCCCTAAATCTTGTATTAAGTGCCATGAGATACTCAGTGGAAATGAGATCTCAGAGCTACAGTTTTATGTTCCACCAGAAAAACAAATACAATTGCTGATAACACTATAAAGCCTGGAATTCTTTCCTGTTTTTTTCCTCTCCAGAAAGCCTATCTTCACCACAAGTTTTGAATCAGACAGCTTTATTGAAACAACTCCTTGTAAAAATAAGACAAGAATCACCTTCACAGAATTTACATAATATTCCCATATCCCAGCTCAAGGCATAATCAAAACAACTCTCTAAATTAGAAGCTGACACATTCCAGCTTGAAGAAATCTTTCAAAACACCCTTCAGGGACACCTCACCCATGTTTCCTTAGCAAAATTTCCACGCCTTTAATCCTGGCAGATTAAGGGTCAGGAGAAACTCTAGCAAAATAAATTCCTTTTTACAATGGGACATTGTAAGTCCTTGAGACTGAGAGTCCTCTCATAAGAAAGGAAGGGTCAGAACCTGAGTCCCAACTAATAACTGCATTGCATGAAAAATGCTAAAGGTACGAAACAAGACCTTGATCTTACAAAGACTTTCATGGCTGCTTAATTTTTAGCACAGCTGATCTGTTCAGGACCAGGTTACACAGTAACCCCACTCCTCCCAAGCCAAGCACTGTTGCCCAGATTTGCAGGGCTGGGAGCTACCAATAAGCTGCTGAACACATTTTGGGGGTTGTAAATCACATCAGGAAGAGAAGGGGCACATCTGTCCTTACTATCAAGCCTGAGCACAACACTCTGTTGCTGTTTTTCAGAAAGCCTCAGCTGTCACTGTGCCTGCTCCCCAGGCAGCCCAGTGTGACAGGCATTAGACCCTGCACTTGTATAAACAGCAAAAAGGCTCTTGTTAAAAGTGGTGGTTGGGAGGAACATCAAGCTCCTGAACTAGTCTGAGCAGAGGTTAATTTGAGAAGATTACAGATAGTTTTTTCCATCTTTTTCTTCCCAGGTTTTAATTTTTTTTCTTACCTAAATTGCACTTTCCTTTTTCCAGCTCATATCCAAGAGGACATTGACAGATGTAGGAGTCATGGGTGTTGTTGCAGGTGGCCAGCGCAGGACAAGGGTTGGAAAGACATTTATCCACTTCTACAAAAGCAGAAAAAAAACACCAGGCTATAGTTAAAGCATCAAAAAAATCATCAACTTTTGAGCTAAAAAAGATCAACTCTTTTGTGAGCCCCTGAGTATTATCAGATACTTCACTGCATCATTTGCACTTACTGTTTATTCTGTTCTTAATTATTCTGTTGGAGCCAAAATAATAAATAGAAACTTTCTCTTGACTATTAATTCAAAAGCCCTTGGGACCCAGTGTTGGTCCATGTTAACACAAACACCCAGCTTGTCTACAGCACTGCTCACCTGCAGGCCCCTGGATGCTTTTCAAAGACAAACCACTCTACTCTGCCCTGGTCAGACCACATCTGGAACATGACATCGAGTTCTGCACTCTCCAGCTCAGGAGAGACATGGAACTACTAGAGAGAGTCCAGAGGAGGGCAATAAAGATGACTGAGGGATTGGAGCATCTCCCTTATGAGGAAAGGCTGAGAGAGCTGGGACTCTTTGGCCTGAAAAAGAGAAGGGTGAGGGGAGACCCTATTAATACCTACAAGTATCTAAAGGGTGGGTGCAGGGAGGATGGAGCCGGACTCTTTTCAGTAGTTCCCAGTGACAGGATAAGGGACAACGGGCACAAGCTGGAACATGGGGAGTTCCATTTAAACATGAGGAAAAACTACTGTGAGGGTGACAGGCTGCCCAGGGAGGTTGTGGAGTCTCCTTCTTCAGAGATACTAAAAAACCCACCTGGATGCAGTCCTGAGTAATGTGCTCTAGGGGATCCTGCTTTAGCAGGGGAGTTGGACTAGATTATCTGTAGGGGTCCCTTCCAACTCTGACAATTCTGTGATTCTGTAACCCTACAGATATGGACAGACTGCAGAAGGGACCTCGAAAGCTGGAGGTAGACACAGGATTTCACCAAAGTCCTGCTCTCTTCATTCAAGCCCTGTTTCCATGATCCAAAGCTAGTGCTTGAACACTGATCAGTCAGTAGATCACCCAGTAATGGTGGAGACACCCCTGGCCACGGTCACCTCCTTTACCTGGGGGAGGCAGCTGCTCCGTGCCAGGGTAGGGGCAGCCTCAGCAGTGATACCTGCCTGTGCCACACCTTGTAATGTGCAAGGGCTTGGGGAGCAGACACCAACCATGAAACACAGAGTATCAGAGGATTGATGACTGTAGGCTCAGATGCTTCATAGACGAGCCAAGTCAACTGCAAATTCCAGAGAAGATATCCAATGCCTTCCTTTGCAAAAAAACATCTCAGTCAAAAATGCTCCTCCTGCTGTGAGTGTGACTCACACAAGCACAAACACACATCACAGAGGTGTGCAAGAGGAGACCATCGGCAGGACTGTGGGCTTGTCAGCAACAAGGTACTAGAAGATGAGCAAGACAGCTTAAGCACCACTTGTACCTGTTTTGCAGCTCCTGCCAAGCACTGCAGCAGTGGCAGGAAGGATAGGCTTTGTGGTTAAAGCAAAAAGCACAAGAGTCAAACCCAAGTGTGCATCTCTGACAGCACTGCAGTGCCCCATGGCATCACGTAGGCTCTGCACACCAGATGGCCCTGAGCCAACCTCTGCATCATTGACACACCACTCAACACCATCTTGTGTCTCAACTAGCCTGGCATGGCTACCTCAGCATCAGCAAGAAGGAGGTTTGGTGTCTCCGATCTAAGCAGCCAGAAATAAGTGGGCATGTTTTGAAACATTAGCTTTCACTTTGCCATGCTTTAATTTGCACTTTGTACAGTGGGACCAGGGCAGCTGCTCCTCTCGTGGCAGTGAGGGCCCACATACAAAGCACCATGCCCAAGGTAGCAGAAGGATCTTTTGCATTCTGGTAAATGGCAAAACTCAGTACCTAAAGGAAAGAGTAACTTGGCAAAATTGTGAATTCAGTTGGTAAAAAGGATATGTCACCTTAATTTGTCAATTAAAAAAAAATATATATCCATTCCCCTACAGTGATTTTTTTTTTTATTTTTTTTTTTTTGCATGAAGCTGTAGCTATAATTAAAACCAATAAGTCTGAGAAATAACCTTTAAATGCTTAATTATTGGATGGACTATAAACTATTGCCAGTATTTCACCAAGATTAATGCAATCAGTACACAAAATATCCTACAACAGCATAAGGGCCAGGATCCTAAACTTTAAACCCACAATCAATTTACATTCATATAAAACTTTGGTCAATGTATTTACTTGAGAAGATAAGGGGCCTGGCAGCAGTAATGACTGATTGTACCAACACATCTAGCAAGACTACAGTTTGTAGCCTACTAGAAGAAGCAACAGGCCCTTGAGCAGGAGATTACTTGATGAGATGGGGAGAAAACAACCATAGGTTGTAATATCAGAAGCTTCAACACAAACACCAAGTGCTGGCCAACTGCCTTTTCTCATTAATAGGATAAATATTGACCAATGTCAATTGATATTGTTGACTGATCAAGAAATATGAAGCACATTCTACACCTACCTAGAGAGCCAGTAAGCTTTATTTTCTTGAAATTCTCAATTTTCAGTTTAATGTTTCTATCAGAAATGTTCACCAAAATGCTCTGCTTTTCCCAGCAGTTTAGCTAGATTGATAAATACTTAAAACTAACAACATGGAGACCGAGTTCTTATTCTCAAACCCTGCTGACAACAGACTTGTCATACATTCATGCATAACCCTCTGAAGACCCTTAAAGTGAAACCCAAGCATTCCTGGCTCCACCACTGATAAGTGCACATCACCTGTTGCTGGAGATGATGTCCTCAACCCAGTTGTGCTACTTGACAGAGGAACAGTGGTTGTTTTGGTGGCAGCCAAAGTAGTTGCAATGCTCACTGTGGTCTTACTGACTGGAGGGGCTTCAGAAGGACTTGTAACAGGGATGTTTTCTTCAGTGACTTTACCAGGCCTTGCAGTGGTAGGATCCACAGCTGCTGTGCTTTTAGCAGTGGTATATGCATGCTTAGTGGCAGCAGGTGTTTGAGCTCTGTGGGCTTTTGTGGTGCTGGCATCACCTGGGGTTGGCTGGTGACTGGCTGGTGTTGTCAGCACAGGAGGCTTCACCGTGGTCAGTGCCACTGCAGGGACAATGACACTGTGGTTTGTTGCACTGGGTGAGGGACTCAGGGGTGCATCTGTTGGCTGAGCCTGTGGGGCATCCCCAGCTGGGGTGGGCAGCAGCGTCGCCTTCCCGAAGCTGCCCCGCTGGGCGGTGGTGGCACTTGGTGACACAGTCTCTGTCACCACCACAGGAGTGGACATGGACACGATGCGTCCACCAAGCTGCTCCATGGGTGCTGTGGGGCGTGGAGACCCAGTGGAGGTGAAGATGGTGCTGTTCTGGGGCTGGTGTGTGACATTATGCTTGTTGGTCCCTTTGGGTGAGCTCCTGGCCACGGCAGCTGTGGAAGGCACCCGTCTGACCACAGTTGTAGCTACAGAGGTGCTTGTTTGATCACTGTCATTGGACTGTGAGATGGATGATGGTGATGAAAACAGAGGCAATAAAGATGCTAATGAATAAGACGAGGAGAGCAATGAGGAAGTGGGCAAGGAGGATGACAAAGCCTGCAGAGGGGGAGAAGATGCCATCACAGAGGATGAGAGTGGCTTAGATGACTCTGATGATGTAAACAAATAAGTTGTTGGTGGTGTTGATGACAGAGAGTGAGGCAGTGATGATGCTGAGGAAGAGGCTGGAAATGCTGATGAAGATAGAGATGATCTGCCAGTGGTCAACAACTCAGAGTCTGTGTTGATGAGAGTTGTATTTGGCACATTGCCTGCAGAAGCAGAAGTCAACAGTTTGGAAGACTGTACCAGCAATGGCTCTGTAGATGGTTCAACAAAACTGCCATCAGTGGATACGTTGCTCCTTCTGTCCTGTGCCACAGAAGATTTCAATGAATCAGAAGGGTTGGAAATTTCAGAAAAAAAGGTGGAACTTTCTGAGGAGTCGGCAGAGGTGCTGCTATTTGAGATGGACAGGAGTGTCCTTTCTCCTCCTCTGGTATATGTGGTTGAAATGTATGTGCCATCTGTATGAGAAACTGAGGTCCTTTTCTCAGCATCAATGCCACTGGCTGGCTGATGGCTGCTTGAAAAGCCTGAAGTAAAAGAAAAAAAAAACAAACATATTACAAAGGCAGAATAATATGAAAATATTTCAATGTCATATTAAAATCACTTGCCAAGTACATAAAATGTTCTTGTCTGTGAACTGACCCATACTCTTCCAAGAATTCAGAGCACCACACAAGCATGGTGATCAAATTATTCTGCACTTCTTAATTAATTTTAAAATCACACAATCCCAGAAATTAATCAGAGAATATTTGGAGTTGAAATGGACCTTGAAGATCACCAACTTCCAACTCACCTGCATGGGCAGGGACACCTCCCACTAGAACAGGCTGCTCAGAGCCCCATCCAACCTGCCCTGGAACACCTCCAGGGATGGAGCCCCGACATCATCCCAGGGCAGCCTGTTCCAGTGTCTCACCACCCTTACACTGAAAATGGTGAACTCTGACAGATCCAAAGCTCCCATGAAACCTGTAGGTTTCTAAAACACTGTTTTTCCAGTATTGCTTTTCTGACATGTAGCATTTTGTGGTTTGTTGTGACCAGCTAAGCAGGAAAGCCCATCTGTTCTCTTTATCACTCATAATCTATAAAACTCCTATCACCTCCCTCTTATCCTCCATTCCCAACTAAAGAATATTCATCTTCTTCAGTCGATTCATCTTCAGACACAGTGAACTTCAGGCCTCTGGAGGATGGAATTATTACATTATGTTAATTGGCAGCTTATCACAGCCTCATTGATTTAAAGCTTTGCAGTCAGAAAATCCTAAATGAGTAGCACATCAGTCTGCAAAAAATTCATACCATTTAGCATAAAAGGTGCAATCTCATAAAACACATTTCAGGATGTACATTGTACATTCATCTAAGTTCAGCAACCTCTAAAGATAAAAAAATAGGGTATTGAAAATTTGGTTTAATTCTACAATTGACTTAGATCATCATGAAACACTTCTGAGAGCATTACCCAAAATAAACCAGTTGAACTGCAAAATACTAATGTGGCCATCAAAACAGAAGAGTTTTCCTGCTCAGGTTCATGGATTCACTTCTGGAATGATTCTCCAGTCAGGCAGGGTCTGGCTTTGAATTCTTTGATGAAAACACCCTCCAGGGTGCACCTGCACTAATGGCGTCACGTACTAATGAACAAGAACTTTGTTTGCAACACGGATAAAAGCAGAACAACGTGAACTTCCCCCCCAAGTGTATGTTAGGAGACACTAACTTACTTGTGAGATCGTTTTGGAAAGAAGAAGTGGGTCTCTTGGAAGAACGTACATAGACCGTGTCCGTCGCGGAGCTCCCACGGCTGGTGGAGGTGTCTGCTGTCCCCCTCTGCTCCACTGACACCACCTCAGCTGGCCCTGGAGCACTGGCAGTTTCTGCAGAGGAGCCACCAGCCAGCATGCTGTCCAACACCGAGGGCAGTGTCCTCTCCCCACCACCAGCAGACGTGGATGAACTGTACGCAGGGTCAGTGATGGGGCTGGAATTCCTTCCCTCAGCGCTCGAGCTGCTATGGGAGGGATGGCTGCTGCCCATGGCTGGAACAGGATTGAAAAGCAGGAATCACCACAGAGCAAAGAGCACTTGGGAGTTCTACAATAATTCTGTTCAGAAATGCAGACTAATAAAACTACACAGATATGACAGCTGGACTCTTCAAGGTCTTTTCCAATCAAGGTAGTTCTGTGATTCTGTGAAGCAGATCTCAAATATCTATCACCTTAAATGTGACTTTAACACACAAATCCTACTCAAAAGGAACAGGACTGTCCAAATAAAGTGGGACAACCTGTACCATTAAATGTCATAATGACATATTTGTGTTATTTATAATTATTACTCCAACCCAGGGAGGTAGCAGACGTCTCCTACAGCAAGAAACTACACGTCTCATTCCTGAGACTTTTTTGTTAAGCACCAACAGCTGCAGATATACAACACCAGGGAATAGAATCACCAACACTTATAAATAGTGCTAGGAAGAAATTCTTCCCTGTGAGGGTGGTGACATACTGGCACAAGGTTGCTCAGAGGAGCTGTGGATGTCCCCTTCCCAAAAGTGTTCCCAGCCAGGTTGGATGGGGCTTTGAGCAACCTGGTCTAGTGGAAGGTGTCCCTGCACATGGCAAGAGGGATGGAACTAGATGATCTTTAAGGTCTCTTCCAACTCAAACCATGCTGTGAAATGTGAAATCCTGTCCATGACATCTGCAGCAGCTCTGGTGAATGCTGGTGGTCATATCAATCCCATGGAAGAAGGGGAGGGAGAGAGAGACTGACTTTTTTCCTAATTCAAACATTACCCTGGAGTTCAGAAAAACTCACTGGAAGGTTCACCAGCAGACGAGAAGTAGGTGAAGACTCTGGATGAAAGGGTGCCCTGAGCCTCTGGGTGTTCCACACGGCTGGACAACATATGTTCCACTCCAGGCCACGCTGTGGAGGATGGCAGGGGGGCAGTGCTGGGCTCCCCAGCTGTGTCTAGGTGAGATGTAGGGCTTGTTGCCACTGTGCTCCATGTGCCATGGTTAACAGCGGCCTGAGATGTCCCCTCCTTGTGGCTGGAGAATGCTGTTGAGGTGTACATGGTATCAGTAGGAGCACCAGAAACTCTTTTTCCTGTCTCTGCAACTGCAAAGTAGAGATACACATACACATACAAAAATATTAAAAATACCTTTGAGGCCTCTATGGGGAGTAAAATGTGAATATTTAAATTCCCACAGCAGATCTGGCCCTTTAACCAACAACACACATTTGCTAAGTAGGGTTCCCAGGTGATCTGTACATTTTACACCATAACAAAACACAAGAGATTGGGGTGCTTGGTGCTTCTGAAGGAGAATAGTGGCAGGGAGATAGGACCAGGTTTTGGATATCCTGCAGAAAATTCCGTCAGGAGAACCAGCAGGTTTTTGGTGGGATCCTGGAATCATAGAGAGGCTGAAACACACGATAACTGGGATATAAGGACAGGCAACAAGTCTACTGATCCCTTGCCAGGCTCCCCAGTTCTGAGGTCAAAGGTCCATGGCAGCCTTCATGTGTGGCCCAGAAGTGCTGCTTGGCCATCTAGTTCCTCACTCGAGAAGTGCTGCCCCAAGTGTTGTGAGGCAAATAACCCACCAGCTCAGCAGTGCTCCCCTGCCCTTTGCTATGACCAAGGCTTGCTAAAAAGGCAAGTGTGGTTTAAAGCTAGAAAAAGAGAGGTGGGAGTTCCAGAAGGGGGTAAGAAGAAGAGATGCCCTCCATCCATGGCAAACCAAGAAACCACAAAACCCACCTGAAGCACTTGGAGAAGGTGAAGGCACTGAGACACCAGGGGGAAACGCAGGCAGCAGCTTCGTTGCAGGCTCGCTGAGCCCAGCACGGCTCTGTGAAACGTGGTGCTGCCTGTCGGGCTCTGCTGCTGCCGAGGGCAGCAGAAGGACCACATCCAAGGAGCTGGTGTGGGCTGAAGCAGGAGCAGAGCTCCCTGCCATCCTGGATGCTCCATGGGTGTCTGACACAGGCACCATGGTCCTCTCCCCAGTGCTGGTGGCTGTCGCTGAGCTGGGTGTACTGCTGAGAGGAGCACTGGGCAGGCGTCCTCCCATGGCTGAGGTCCCTTCTGCTGAGAAAGGACAAAGCAGACTGGATTTATGCACACTAAGCTATAAACTGGTGGGTGTGCACTGTTTCATCACTACCCTTAGGCTGACAGCTCAGATATAACGTAGCAGAATCATAAGAATCCCAGAAGGGTTTGGGTTGCAAGAAACTTTAAAGATAATCTAGTTTCAACCCCCTCCTAGCCATGGGCAGGGACATCTCCAACTAGGCCAGGTTGCTTAAAGCCCCAAAGATCTAAACCTGGGGAAAACTGAAGACACAACCCTTTCCTGTGCTAGGAAGAGCTACTCACAGGAGGACACTCTGGAGAGGACACTAGGGACAAGTCATGGGAGCTCTGCTGGGTTTGCTTTCCTCCAGCGCTGCTCCTGGGGCTGCACTCCAAACTCCCTGATACCCCAAACAGAGCATGGCAGGATTGTGTGGGATCTGTAAACACTGCAGGAGTCAGGAATGACTGGTGTTGCCTCCTGCTTGCATGAACACATCCAACAGGGTGGTCTTGAAAGTGTGCTGTCTGAGAACACACACCAAACCTCAGAGCCAGACCACTCTTGCAGAATGGCTGGGCTTTTCTAGTGACTAAATGTCAAAACTAGCTAATGCATATTAGGAAGCAGAAATTCTCCTCCATATCATCCAATGCCAGTGTCCAGCACCATCTAGCATGCCCTCATTCCTCCATGCAGGGTGGAATTTTGAGGTCTACAGGAAGAAGCCCCCGAGGGAGGGCCAGAGCTCACCTGAGGAAGGACCTTCTGCAGCAGACGACGAGCCTGTGAGCAACAGGTCTGTGGATGACACGGTGGCACCTCTGCCACCACCACCCTGGGGTGCCAAAGAGGACGAGGTCTGGTCTGAAGAGCCAATGGTTTTGGTACCAGTGGTGGAAATCTCTGTTGTCTGGGCCAGCCTGGTGCTTGCTGACAATGACCTTAATGTCCTCCCTCCACCCTTGCTGGCTGTTGTGGAAATGGAGGTGCTGATGGGGGGCAAATCTGTTTTTCTGTCTGTTGACAGGGTCCTGAATGACACATGACTGTTTCCAGTAGCTAAAATATGATAAAGAAACAATTCACCTTTTTACACGTGAACCTATAAATAGACAAGTTTTCTTCCAGTAACCCCCAGAAGCAGCAGGTACACGCACAAGTAGAAAATATGAGATGTCAATCCAGAGAAAATAGGAAATTCCAAAGATGTGAAGCCTTCCTACAGAAACTTGTCCTCTAAAAAACATGGTTTGATGCTGAGAAAATTGCTACTATAAAAAAACTGTTGAACTACTGACAGTGTGCACTTGATTTCATTGATATGTGCCTGGGTGCACTCCATCCTGCTAGTACAAATATTGCAACAACACAGAAAAGCCTGGAAATCAGTTCAGACAAGGCCCAACAGTGATAAGTATGGAGGTCTTAGAGAAGAAGTCTGAAGAAATGGGATGAGGGGATCAGACCCCTTCAGCACTTCAGTGGGATCTAGGACCAAATATCAAAACAAAAGACCTCAGAGACCACATTCAAAGTTGCCTTAAATTAGTTGAGCTGGTTCCATTCCTGGGAAGCAGCATGGCCCAAGGGGTAGGACAGGGAGCAGTAACTCAAGTCTGGTCTCTGGGACTGCAAGGACATGATCTAATCCTTGCCTCCTTAGTTCTCTTGCTTATAAAATGTAGATAGCTACTGAGGATAGTAAAAAAAAAGGAACATGATTTGAAAGTTAATTATTTTTTCTTGGCATAATGAAACTTTCCACATATGTGCTCATTCTGTAGAAAAAGCCAAACCACATTTTTTGGTCAAGCAAGAGCTGAAATACTTCAGACACAAAATCACACTGCCTCCTTCCAATATATTCTGCATAGGGGAAAAGAGTCAGGACAGTGTACAATACATTAACAGTCCTTTTACTTAGAAGAAAATGGTATTTCACTTCTAACTTCACCTCACCTGGGGAAGGACCCTCTGAAGGAGAGTGAGAGCGTGTTAACGAAGGGTCTGCCATCCACTTGGTGAAATTTGTTCTTTCTTTGGACCCATGGACTCCATAGGTCTCTCTCACAGAAGATGCAGATGAGGATTGGACTGTGCTCAGGGTCCTGTTGGTGCCACTGCTGGACACGGAGACTTCTGCTGCCCATGGGCCACTGCCTGTGGCAGACCTTGGGGGCCTCCCACCGCCATCGGTGGCTGTGGCTGAAGTGAAAGGACTGGTGGGAGAGGAAGCAAGCTGTTTTTTCTCTGTTGTTGGACTGTCTACTGGTGCGTGGCTGCTTCTGACACCTAAGATGCAATAAAACCAGGTTTGGTTTATACATGTAGAGCTATACATTTGAGGGACTGTTTGTACACCCTAAATTTCTATCGTGTTGATTGAGAAATTGAACAGAGCAAGTTCTCAAGCTGGAAAAGGTGCTGCTCTGGGAAGAGGTGAATCCCTCAAGTTCAAGCATATGTGTGGCTTACAAATGGCCATGAAAATCTCAACTTAAAACCATGGTTTTAAACTTCAGGCTGTGCACAATACCTGATTTATGCTTCAAGCTCCCTTCAAGCCTGTTCAAATCAGGAACACACACCACTAACTTCAAAGGAAACGTAGGGGATGAGCTGAAACAGGCCTGGCTTAGGTTTTCTAGTAACAGTCCAGAAAGCCAAGCTGCTTTTCCTAGCATGGGAATTTCATTAGCAGTGAGGGCACTGATGATTTCACTTTTTCACCCGAAAGCTAAGAACCACTCCCACCCTTCCCACCAGCTCCACTGCCTGATGCAGCTGGAAACAAAA